CCAAACCGAAAAGCCGCCCATAGACCCAAATTCTGAACTCTCGAGCGACAGCCCGAAGCACAAAAGCCAAGCTGGCGCGTCTCTGCAAAGCCAAGACCCACTTGGAGGTTCAGGGATTGTTATAAGTGGGGTTATAAGTAGAGTAACTATACTTATAACCCATATTAGGGGACTTATAACCCTACTTAACGCTACCCCTGAGCCTCCAAGTACAACCTTCAACCTGGATGGCTATTTTACGAAGAAGCTGAACGCAGAAGAACTTTGTACTGCTCTTGCAAAACACCACGAACCCCTAAACCCAAAACCATTATGTCCTGACCGGCAAAACCCTAAATCCTGACCCTAAACCCCTGAACCCTAAACCCGAAACCTCCTGAAAGGCAACTCCTAACTTTGCGTCTCTCTACATCTGCTTCTCGCAGATCGCCACGACGGAGCTGCTTGAGCCTTTCCTGCTAGAGCGCTGGGCTTTACGGGTTCGGAAATTAGGCCTTGGAATTTGGGGTTTAGCACGTTTAAGATTTCGGGTTTTGGGTTTCTGGTTTCGGGTTTAGCGTTTGATTCGAGGGTTTGGGTGTGCCCGGTCAAAGGCTTTAGCACCGCGGCGTTTTATCCCCAATCGTAAACCCTAAACCCTAAACCGGTTGATGATGGGGTTTTGGGTTTTCCTGGGCCCTAAGGAACCTACCTTTTTAGGGTTCCCGAATATGATTTCTTTATATAAGTCCTTCAAAGGATAGGTTACGTGGAGTTAAGGTTCGGTATGCTCAATGCAAGGGCTCGATTTGGACTTGGGCTCTGGACGGAGCCCTGGAATCTTCTGAAAGAGGGTTTAGGGTTTAGGGTTCGTAGCAGATCTCACAAGGCTCGTAGCCACCCCACACCCAAAATCAAGCGCTGAAACGCGAGTTTGGATCATGGGGTTTGGATTTTGGCTCTTTCGGGATACGCTCTGCTGGAGTTGGACATTCCGAAATGATTCTGCATGAGTGGAAGGGTTGATGTTGGCTCTGAACAATCTCACTTCTTGTGAAGGGGCATGAATGGAAGGGCTGATGTTGGCCCTGAACAATCTCACTTCTTGTGAAGGGCAGCTCGTCTGGAGCGTTCGCTCACTCTATCTGCAAACAATACTACGGTGGATGATAGAAATCCTGCATTACCCATAATAAGGAATAGACCATAATTCCCATAGTTTAGGGTCCTTAAAGTAATGCAGGATTTATATCATCCACCGTATCACACCATGAATCAGATCCCAACACAAAGTTGGTTCGAAGCTCTCGGGCTTACAATGCCCGAAGGGTTTACAGATAAACTTGAAGGAATAATGGTACATGCAAGAAGCCATGTGGCAGGACAGCATGAAGTGAAATCTTAAGTCGTGTTTCATTGCGGACCCGAACCCCAGTATTCTGCTAGCTGCCAGTGATACTGCAAAGAATGACCAACATGATAATACCACTGCCTAAACCCCTAAACCCTAAATGCTTTATGCTTTAACCGCAGCCCTGCAGCGGTCTGCAGCCTAGGACCAGGAGGCAGAGGATGTTTGGGAGTTTCCGGAAATTGGGGCTACTTTATTTTGGGTGTCCTTATAATAAGGATCCTACTAGCTGGGGTGCTGTATTAGGGTCCCCTGTTTTCGGAAACTCCCATTTCCATGTCGGTGCACTTCTGTCAGGTTGGAGCTCGAAACTGAAAAGTACCCGGCATCGCCCTCCCCACGAAAAAAGAACGAAGATCCTAAACCCTACTCCCTAAACCCTATGCCTTCAACCCCAAACCCGAATGCCAAACCATACACCCGATTAGATAGCCCTGGCACCTGCGAAATTCTTCGGAGCTGGGCATTGTCGCCCTGCTTCTCCGGCTCCAAAGATCTTGACAGTTTAGGGTGTATGCCAGGGTTTAGGATTTAGGGAATAGGGTTTAGGGCCGTACAGGTTTGGGGTGTACGGGCTTAGGGTTGGGTTCCGGGTGGAGCTTTCCACATACCCGGCTTGGGATCGCGCATGTCTTGGTTGTAAGACGAACCTCCCTGATGACATCCCCTTCGCTAGCAGGGTTCAGGGTTTGCGGCTAAAGACGCCTGTGAGCCTCAAAATAGATGAGAAAGTTTTTCGGTGTGTGCAGTCTGCGGACAGATGTGGTGATTCGTGGCGGGGAAGGACAAAGACGAAACACTTGAAGGCGAAAACCCAAAGAATCAGGGTCTGGAGTTTGGAGTAAAGTTGGATCGGAAGCCATCTCAGCGTGGAAAACAGTTCCTAAAGAATCCTTACAAGCCAAAGTTCTAGGCCACCAAACTAACACCTCACTCTCTGCAGATCGAAAGACTGCGATTCTGAAGCCCCCACTAAGCGCGCGAAACCGACCTGAGGATGGCTAGAAGAATGTCGGCGAACTCCCGCTCATCTTTGCCGACCGACACCACGAAATCCTACAAGAGGGCAGGTGTCTTTTGCCCCGTGTGCTTGAGAACGACCATGAAAATGGCAACTTTCAGATGAGCTTCAACACGAACATTGACCTGAGAGGATCCATGAGATATGAAGTCACGTTGACGAACACGTGGGGACTTCTGTCAATTAGGATCCCTTCAAGGTCCTGTTTTTATGGGGTACCGTTCTGTTCTGGGTTCCGAAAGAAGAACCCTAATTTATAGAACGACTCACATAAAAGCATGAGGCTTCACTGTCGCGAGCATGGCTTGTGAGCTTGCGTTTCGACGCTTCGGTGCTGAGGGTTCGACATCGTAAATCAATCCAAGCCCAGAGACGCTAATATCCCTTAAATCTGGAACATTGCTTAAATCAAGTTTTAGGGATCCTACAATAATTGAAAAAATCCTTGAATAGGGGATATTGGAGTCTCTGGGAATAGCTCTCTGGACGCCCCGATCACTGCAAGCAACAAGAAAAGAAGAAGCCCCAAATGCATAAGAAAGAACCTGGCCGGGCCACAACCGAAACCGTAAAGCCCAAACCCAAATTCAAAACCCTAAACCCTGATCCACAAAACCCTGAACCGCAAAACCCGAAACCATAATTCCCCACCTGGAGCGAGGCGCCAGGGAACCGTACGTGCCAGTGTGACACCTCCCCGTTTTTATTTCGGGGAAACCTCGGATTCAAGAGTCTTACGGGCTTGGTGGGCTTGAGCTTTAGGGTTTTAGGGTTTAAGGGTTTAGGGTTTAGGTTTTAGGGTTTTTGGTGCTTCTGTTGGTTTGCGGTTTGGGGTTGGGGGTTTTGGGTTGAGGGTTTTATAGGGTTTAGGGATCCTCGGGTTGGGATTCAGAGGAAATCCTCCCTTGAGGATAGGATGCCCGAAAACCAGGCGTGAGCCTGCTTGACTGAAGCTGTCTCGGTTGGGGGTTTAGGGGTGAGGGTGTAGGGTTTGGGGTTTGGGGTGTTGGGTTTAGGGTTTGGGGTATTGGATTTAGCGTTTAGGTTTTAGGGGTGAGGGTACAGGTACAGTGTCATCACGTGACATGGCACGACTTCGTGGTACACGTCCCGGTTAGGTTGAGAAGCAGTGGGCCCTAAATCTGAAATCCAAAACCGCAGCTCTTAATTGTCGAAAGCCCGAATCCCACACCCCGAAGCTTTGGTCAGAAGGACGAGCCCGCGACGCAGAATCTCAAAACTCGGGAAGCAAGTTCACAGATCCTGCTTGGAGGTTCATGGGTAGTTGTAAGTAGGGTTATAAGCAGGGTAACTACAATCACAATCCATATTATGGGACTTATAACCCTACTTAATACTACCCCTGAACCTCCAAGCGCTATATAGTGTGAGCCCAGAGACCTGAAATCCCCAAACATGAACATGAACATCGAAGCCCCATGCCTGAAAATCAAGTCCTCTTGAAGCCTGACGCCCCAATCCCCTGAACCCTGCAACCCAAAAACCCCCGAAGTCCCTCATTGAAACCCCCCAAACCTCAAGCCCTAAACCCAAAGCCCGAACTTCTAAAACCCCCAGCCCTACCTAAACCATCAAACTGACCATGACGAGCACTCCCTCTCTTGGCGAGCAGCACACCGCCACTTTCCGAGGCTTCCATCGACAGAGGGCGAGGGCTTGGGGTCTCGTGACAGTTTAGGGTTTAACGGTTTGGGGTTTAGGGTGTAGGGCTTGGGGTTCAGGGGTTTAGCATTTAGGGTTGACAGGTTTGGCGATTTAGGGTTTAGGGGCTTGGAAGGCTAATACAAGGTTACAGACTTTTCACAAGAGATGTAGATTGGAACTACGGACTGTCAGGTTTGGGCTTTAATGAGGCATTTTGGCGCTACAGTGGCGAATTCGACGTTAGGGACTTGCGATGGAGTTGGGGCCTTCGACAAGGGTTCAGGGTTAAGCGCTTCGGCTTGCGGTATGTGTAGGGTCTTTTGGTTCTCGGGTTGGGTTTGGGTTAGGGCTAAAACCCTGTAGGCAGGACGGCTCAGAGAAACATGAGAAACTCGTGAGGTGGCAGGAGTTCCAAAGCTTCAGGGCGCAGACGCCATCGCCGCCAGCCTAAACAGCGAATGGATGACTCCAACCGCCATGGAAGAACTAGGCGTGCAGTGTGGAAACACATATTGCAAACATTTGCAAACCCTCAACCCCGTCAGAGCTGCAGAAAAGCCACACATGCATGGGAAAACCTTAGGAACCCATAGACCTTCAGGTCCGGAACTCCTCCAACCCCTTTTTTTTGGCTTCAGGGTTAGGCTTTGGGAGTTTGATGCTCTCCTACATAGACAAGGTTGAGTTTGTGCCGCAAGAGCTTTATCAAGACATATTACGCTCCGGATCAACCTTCTCCGAGGCAAGGTAGTTGATTTCATGAACTCGATTTCCCGTTGCAGAAGAACTTCAATTCAGCTAGCCTTAGCTTCTGAACTTGGGGAAAGCAAGAGCTGCGGGCGGAAATGGATCTTACCCCGATATACTCTTAACAGTAACCCACGCGATGCCCCTGATAGTACGTTTATCCGATAGGTTTTCGCATCATCGTCTCTCAGAGTCCTCCTCCAGCGCGAGCGCTGCGAGCTGCTGCACGATGGCAGCCCCACTCAGTGTGCTCAGAACGCCCAGGGACACCCCGATCCAGTCAAACTCCACGCCGCTTCCCCGGCTGAGAGCCGCGGCAACGGAAGCGGCTGCAGAGCCCGAATAGACGTTCGAGGCAAGGGGCGGCAGCATGCCGAGGAGGGTCGCCGGGAGGAATGAGCTGAGAGACACCCCCGCCAAAGGCAGAGCATAGTTGTTGATCCAGGAAGGCACCGGAGAGAGGCGGGCCAACAGACAGAAGCGAAACGCATCCTGCCGAACTCCCCTCTCCAGCTTCTCTGTCCAACTCTGGCCTCCTTCCTGGCCCTCTTGGTCCAAGCGCTCTTGGATCCATCGACCTGGGGGGCCGTCACGAATGGCCCGGGCGATGAAGAAAGTGAGAGCCGCGGCCAGCCCTTTAGCAGATGCCACCACGAGGACCCCGGGCAAGAATCCGAAGACCGCACCAGCAGTGAGCTCGAAGATGGCTGTGCCAGGGAAGCAGAGGATGATGGCGACGATGTGAACAGCGACGAAGGGCACGGCGCCGAGCCCTGAAGTATCGCCACGGATCCATTCCCCAAGACCTGCAGCCAAGGAGGCGCTGTCCAGCGAAAGCGCCGTAGACGTCCCGTCGGCTGCCATGGCACACTCTCCGCACGAGAAGCTGAACATCACCAAGAAGGCGACGGCGAGGCAAACCAGGCCATACCGCGATGACATGGATAAGCTTGCGACGCCCCCCCTGCCGCCAGAGCGATAGGCCCGTGCCACTTGTCTGTTGCTTCGGAAGCCCCGGGCCAGACGAACTCCCATCATTCCGCAAGCTCCTGCCAAAGTACTTCTGAGCCCACGAGAGTGCAGCTTCGGCACAGTCGGAACATATGAAGAGGCTACCGTGCGGAACGACTGAGGTATCACAACGCTCTGCCGATGCCCCAAAGATATCCCAGCACCGTCCATCGTCAAATCGATCACCATGCTGGGTCAAGACAGCGCGCACAATGAAATCAAAGAAGTGGGATGCGATGCTTGTGCCACAGATGGCCTGAAGTTCCATGTCACTGGACATCAATATGTGTATTCGTGTGTTGCTAAATACTGCTACAAATTCCTTTCTCTATGCGGCTATACCATTTCCGAAACGAAAGTTGGCTCTGCAGCTTACTATCAGAGCGAAAATCATGTTACCGATCTGCAAAGCTATTCAGCCAATTACTCCGATGTTTCGGAACCTATACATCCGTGGATCCAAAGACCATCAATGTAAGCTTCGAAGAAGCCGACCTTTCACATGTCCCCAGGACCGAAAGAAAACAAGAGAGTCCACCTTTCAACGGAAACTTGAAGGAACTTACCTACAGACATGTTGTATATGCAAATTGACAAACTGTTTCATGTTGTGCATAAAGATGGATATGTGAACTTTTGGTGTGCAACACTGCGCAGGTTCGGTTTCGAACCGTCAGGCATCACTTCGAAGTGTTGCCAGAGAACTATTCTTCTTTAGATAATAGTGAACGTCCGAGGTCAGATAAACTGCATCTGCTAAGCTTCTTGCTGTTTCATCGAACAGCCTTACCGTGAGAATTTAAAGTTTTTCAATCCCAAAGCCACAAATCTAGCAACAAGTTTCAGTAAAATCTTGAAGATGAATGAATGTCTGTAAACCAATCAAAACTTACAATTAAAAGAAGTTGATAAGAACTATACCGGTGGAGACCACCATGCTGATCGAGTGCAGAAGCTCCAAATGGCTGTGCAGGCTCTGAGCAGTGAAGCGAACGGCTTAGGGCATTGGACTTTGGGCTCCGAGCTTTGGATTTAGGGGACGTTGAAAGATAGCTCCGTGTCGCACAAATTGTGGCTCAGAAATATCTGTGAATCAGTTTACACTTGCACGTGATCGCAGATAGCCACATCGGCGTGAGGTCACCAAGAAAACGTTTCAAGATGTTTCAAGCACGCAGCACCATGTTTCAGCTGCTGCAGAGTCTGTTGGAACTGCATAGGGAGACCACGCTGGCCGACGTCTCGTTGCCACATAAAACTGCGACACTGCATGCTCACCAGGACAAAGCCTTTTTCTGCCGATCCTGCATATGTCCGGAGGGCCCTCGAATGCAGCTTGACACAACTCTCCATCAACCGTGACGGACATGGTTTACTCCCAACAAAGGCCTCCCGCCTCCTTGTTTGCCGATGACAATGAAGATTCCGAATGACTTTCAACCGTCCGAGCCTTTGCCCAAGCTTTCCTTGGCAAGCCTCATGCCGGCCAAAGCTATGTCACACAAAACTGTGACGGCGTTAGCCGCTGCGAAGCTCACTGTCTGATGATATGTACAGTCCGGAGGACCCTTGATGTTTTTGAAGCTCAATCTTTATCGCCAGGTAGCGGCCACAGCAGTACCCTTCTACAGTATCTCTCTGCGGCTTCCGTGGATCCTCACTCCAACCAAGTCCTTCCGCCTCCGTTTCTCACGATGAAGGTAAAGACTCGGAATGACTTGCAATGGTCCGAGTCTTTGCGGACCGGCAATTACGGAAGCTCACTGCCATCATCATACGTATGGTCCGACAGGTCTGAGGACTGCGACCAAATTCCGATGATGCTCACAAAAGTGCGATGTTCCGCAGAGAGAGCTCCACAGTTTCACCCCGCTGAAGCGCCGGCCACTTCGCCTCTGCATCCTGCGACTACAGCAGCATCTCGCTTGACTGCGCCATGCCATGCGAAACCTTTCGACACTCCAACGAATAAACCGCCGTAGTGCTCATGCTTTCCCGGGCCTTGAAGAGGCGCAAGGCCAATGCTTCCGGCCCATCTGCGGAAGGACTTCAACAAAGCTGCTAGTTGCCGAGCTTCTCGAGAAAACAACTGCCCACCTGGCCGCAACGCCTGCACCGCTGCCACGATACACGGCGCAACCAGGGCTGCGCGGGGCACGAACACCCAGCCTTCCAAGCAAAATCTTCTGGCAATCTAGATTAGTGTGGCGGGATCAGGAAAGGATAAAGCATTCTCGTCATGACTAGGGACGAGTCAGGTCAAAAGACTCATAGTTGGGTAGCTGGACTAGCTTGGCACACTGGATTGGGCGCGAAACTGATTGCCGTTAAGTACAATGCAACATGAAATGGAAAATCGAAGTGTGAAAACCGAAGAGTTGTGTATCGCAGTAGTATCGTGTAGTTCCAAACTTCTCGTCTTCTATGACCCAAAAAATGTGAAATACGATTGCAGATTCAATGTCATGTTGCTTTCCACTACCTTGTAACTCGAACTGCAGGTAGTACTGAGTACAGACTGACGAGGACGCTCCCAAGACACACAGGTCTACAACCTTGCTGAGTCCACGCTCCCGTTTATTTAAAAAATGCCTTAGGCCCCACAGTGACTGACATGCTCAAGTTTAGGGTCTAGGGTTTAGGTTGCAAGGTCCGCTCATACCGAAAGTAGGTGTACCGATGTCTTAAAGCCGTAGATTTCGCGGCTTCGCAGCTTGGCTCACCGTTTCGTAGCCTCACTTTGTCGAAGCTTGCACGAAGTTTGCCTAACCTTGCATGCCAAGGAACACAAGAAGCAGATGCACTGCAGATCATTCACCTGAAAACATCTGTAACAGACCCCGTTGCAGGATGCCCGAAGACAATTTCAGCAAGCTACAAGGACGGCTGCAATCTCCTCGATCTGTGCTTTTTGCGTCCTTTATCTGCCAAGCACTTTGAAGCATCACACATCGCCTGGTGTTGCCGGAAGGGTCGGAAGGTGCCTACAGCAATCGCAGTGCACAATGTATATCCCAGAACCAACTCCAGGCCGTTCTCGCTCCCGACGGCCTCACACGGGGCACGGGGCTCTGCACAGAAGGGACAAGGGAAACACGGCAATGCAGCTTACAGTGCTGATGGACGTTCGAGCCGAGGCGCAGCAACCAGGGCTACGGTGACGAGCCTCATGGCCTCATGAATTTCGAACCATTTTCTTCAGAGTTCTTCGTAACTCTGGACACTTCAGTAAGTAAAGGATAATGCCGCTGACAGCCGATCTGTTGAAGCAAGCGGCTATCTCGAACCAAACGTTTTGGCATGCTGCCTCAAGTTGCTGCACAAGCTCCAAGCAGCAAGTGGGCAACAGTGTGACATCTGTTTGAACTCCCTCTTCCACAAAGAACATTAACCACCCTCTCAGATTCTTCATGATGTTGCAAGCTATGCTGTGGGATAACTCGCCCTCGTACCTACCACGAAAGGACGTAAACTTCAGATTCCATGGCAAACCCAGGGAATCTTTGTACGATCGTTTTCTGGTGAAACACCCCACGCAATTAGGAGGGATCGTCGTATATATGCCAACACATCAAGTCTGCCCCGTGTAACGAAAGCAAAAGGCCCACACGCCTTTGACAAGTACCTTATGAGCTCCTGCATCATGGTGAGAGCTTATACTGCCCACGTGCCATGACAGAGACACTGCCGAAATCCACTGGAGTAGGGTTGTAGAGTATACGAATGTAAGGGGATAACATTTCTAACACTGAAGTCCGGCAGAAATTCCGGCAGAAATTCTCTGAGGAGCATATTTCGTGAAGAGCTCACTGCCACCGGCCACGATTCCTGAAGGATGCGTCTCCCGAATCTAGGACCATGATGGACGGCGTGCATGCGCTCTGCTCTTAAGACGGCACTCATGTCAAACAATAAGAAAAAGACGACATCGCAGATATGCATGTTGCTATATACATAATACTAGTAGAGGTAGTGTTGAATGACCCCAAGGATACACCTGCAATGTTGTGAAGGGAGAAACAACCAATTCCATTCAGATTTTGGTTCGTTTGCAGCTAGCAACATACCGGGTATTGGATCTTAGATACGGGCCTTGGCCCCGGTACAAAACGGTACAACTTGTACCGGGGAGATCCAAGAATCCAAGATTTCTTGCAATCTTGGATACCGGAGCCCGGTCCGGTACAACCGGCACAAGTTGCGCCGGACCGGGCTCCGGTATCCCAGGTTGCAAGAAAAGACTCCGCAGCAATCTTGGATTCTTGGATCGGCCCGGTACATGTACCGGTTGTACCGCTTCCAAGGCCTGTGCTCAGGATCCTGGGGGCGGAGTCACCCAACCACAAACTGGTACATGAGGAAGTCCCTCCCCTCAAGGATCCACAGTTTTCGTGTTGTGTGTGTGTGTATGCATATTCGTATGTATGGAACTCTATGCAGCAGATTGCATTTCCCACCCTATGCAAAAGGCCCGGGAAGTCAGAGCCAAGCATCGATCAGACGGCGCGACTTCTTCCAGGACGCAGCGCTCCATTAACATCCTGCATCAAGGCGATGGAGTACGGAGAGCACCCGAGGTGAATCAGAAGACATTTCGTGGGTCGAAATGGGTCGGGGGCTGCGGCAAAGATCAGTGGAAGCCTATCTTCGAAAGGGTAGGCGTGCCTGGCCAGAGCCTGGCAGCGCCGAAGATCTGCATCGATTTTGCTCTGTAGGGCCTTCCATACCAGGCTGCTGCCCTCAGCGGAATGCCATTGAACAACACATTCAGTAAAAGCATTGGTATCAGCAGCGCAACTGCAGTATTGGCGGCGAGCAGCGTCTAAATCCAAACGTTCTTGCTCACCGTGTTCCTGTGCTGGCTGTAGGCTCCTTAGCTTTTTGCAATTGATTGCTCGGCTTGGCAGCACATCTGAGAGCCTTGTACCCCAGATATTGTACGGGCGATACCCCAGCAATGGATTTCCCAATAGTGGCCGTAGAAGCTACCCGAGTTTTGGCCTCAATATAAACCGTCTTAGCCCGCATGCACCATTCGCAGACCCAACATGGGCGCTCCATAATGCAAGTTGCAGCCGTCCTGGCATTACTTACTCATAACTGTTCATGTGCATACCGCTCTATCAACATTAGCCAAAAAAAGTGCCCCAATAACAGCCATACTATTATTCCGAACATTGAAGTTAAAACCCGAAGGGAATCTTCACAATAATAGTGAAACTGACTCCTAAGTCCAAATATCATCAACCCTAACATTAACCTTGGCATTTAGCCCCGATATTGGCCCCCAACGCTGTGACTCTGATGTTAACCGGTGGCCCTAAAACCATCCGTAATCCAGGGCAGGATCCAAAAGGCCTATCTCAAGCTATGTAGCAATGAGCTGCGTTGTGAGAGATTCTAGTATTGAATCCTTACGAGATCCTACAGGAGTCTAGTAATGTAAACCACAAGACTCACAACCAGGAAAAAAAAACACGAGTGACTAGCTACCCTGGTCCCAACACGTTCGTCGGATGCCTTGTAATAACCTCGTAGTTTACCTTAACCTAAATATGCTAAAATGGCCCCACATTCACCCCAAATCTAACTTCAAAGTTTACTGGAATAACAATTCCAACGTTGGCCTGGAGCAAGGCTTAGTAGTCACGTTGCCGTATTGTTCTGATTTTACCGAACCAAAATCAGCAGAACCCTGGAGGCGCAACTTCCCCACTGGTTCTTATTGAACCCAATACTGACCCGAACGGTAACGTCACTGCTCGACAAATAACACAGCTGAATATTCATCTGGTTTGTTGGCCCAAATGTCTCAATACTGTATTGAAAAAAAACTTGGTTTTGGCCTTACAGCAACCCTTACTGAAACATAGAGGTGGGTTGTTGAGAACCATAGGTATACATATACATATGCATATCCATATACTTATACCTATACCTATATGTATACATGTACAGATACACATACATAAACATAAACATATACATATACATATACATATGCATATGCATATACATATACATATACATATACATATACATGTACATATACATGTAAATGTACATCTACATATACATATACATGTACATATACATGTAAATGTACATCTGAATATACATATACATATACATGTACATATACATGTACATATACATATACATATACATACACATATACATATACATATACATATACATATACATATACATATACATATACATATACATATACATATGCATATGCATATACATATACATATACATATACATATACATATACATATACATATACATATATGCGTACGTGTACATATACATATACATAAACATATACATATGCATATATACATGCATATATACACGCATACACATGTATGCAATAAATATGTCCATTTTGCATTTAGCTGTGTCCATAATCGCATTCTTATATGTCTAGTTCTTATAAGTTCTTATATGTCCATATGCAGAATAACATGCAGCAAGGTTTCAGACGTTCTTCATGCAGCTGCACCCGCACACTGCCAGTGAAACAGATGCAGCTGTGGGCCACAGCCGCTGCCCGGAGGCTCGTGGTCTTCATCTGGCATTTTGCGTCCTGCACATTGGTGTTTCGGTTTTGAAACTCAAGCGGTTTAGGGTTTTGCAACGACGGATTCTAGGGGCTGGGTGCAACGACCACAATAGCTACGCTCTTATTGCAACTGAATTCAAGACGTCTGCGGTATGTGCGTTCAAAGAAGACTCTCGAAGACTAAAGTTCTCAGAGCAACAGTCGGTTCAAGTACTACATGGAATGCACCACATGTGCGGTACGTCAACACGGCCCCAGACATGAGGTGATTTTCACACCCGTCTTATCTGCAGTGTGACGTACCCAGAAACATGCACGAATTGACCGCATTGGGTCGATTCTGCTACCCTACCCCGATCTATGTCGGGTTGTGGGCTGTGAAAAATTTGCGGCCAAACTATGCTGAACTCAGGACGCTGCTCCCTCACTCCTGCTGCTACGGGCTCTGCGGGCTGTTCGCGAACATGTGCCAGGTTACTGCCGATGGTGTAATGGTGTGATTGAGCAGCAGGGGCTTCATGCTCTTCGTGAAGCAATCAGCGAGTTGCAAATGGGTCGGTACCCACCTGAGTTCATCACCGTGTGGGTGGAACGCCACGTGCGCGTCTGTTGGCTTTGCAGATTAAGTGCAAACCAACCTGCTGAATGCCAACGTCCCTCACATCAAGGATGTTCGCCAGCGTCCTTACGTGGTCACGCATTGGACGCTGTGCTTCCAGATATGCCTGGCGGTTGGTGATCTCGTTGAGCTATCATCACCGGCATGTAGATGGTGCGTGACTGCGAAGTCGTCACTGCTGCATGGAGCAAGTCTGTGTGCAACACGAAGACTCTCTCTTTCTCCGGTCCAAGCGTCCCGTATACGCTGGATAGTCGCGTCATGTTCCTAACCCCAAGTGAAGACGTCCACTGTCATCTCAGGGTTCTGTGACCCGGTGTAAACGGGGCAAAGCTCCAGGTCATGATTGTGCACCATGCCGGGCCGCGGGCACAAAACATGCCTCCATACCCTGGCATTATAGCTAGGGGATGACCGCGCGGGTCCTTGGGAGCCTCTGCGTCGAAACGCCTGATTGCCTCCCGCTCGGCCGCTGCAGTCTTCGGGTCAACAGCGACCCGAGCCCCAGCCTTCGCCGTCTCGACGAAGCGCTCCTCGGGACTGTCCCCGGCTGCTTTGGGCGCCATGGCCTGGCCTGCTACCGTCTGCTCCCTCACAGCGGAAGCCTTTGCGACGGGCGGCTCTGCACTGCCTACCTCCGGCGCCGGCGCTACTGCTGCTGCTGCTGCTTCTGCGCCTGTCACCGTCATACAATGATTCGGGAATGCTACTGCTATCGATTTACTGACCCGCCTCTTGCTGTTCGCACGAGCGTGCTCTGGCGTGCCATCTACAGTGCTATGACTGCGAGTTCTGCTGCGTGAGGTGTCATGCTGTGAGAGAGCGGGCGACACAGCTTTGTGCCTGGGCACACGGGGCGAGGGTATGCGGAACCCAGTGATAAAGCCTAGGTTGCTTACTTGCTGTGAGGCCCTCACTTATGTTTATGCATAGGAGACCAGAATCCTGCGCGCGGCAGAGTCGAGCCATGATCAGAGTGCCATCAGACGGTAGCCCAATGCTGCAGGTACTGTTCCTCAAATCCTTAGATATACCAAGTTGCGCCTGCGCATACAAGGAGAGCAACAACGGGGCAGAACCCTTAATCTCATGCGAATCTAGTACGCCTGCTCCTTCGCTTCGCCTTCAATCCCAAGAATCGAAAACAGATTGGTGCGGCTTCCTAGGGTTTCTGTTGCTCCGCTCAAACTCTTAAAGGTTCGGCTACCTTCAGGCTTGAATCTGGGGCTATTCCCGAACTCGGCTAGCCTTCCGGCGGCATTAGCTACCCACTCCGAGCCGTGAACGGTGCTATTACACCCTTCGTCTAGCACTGAATACACACGCGGCTCCGCGTAAATATTACCGACGGATGCATATCCGTCACCCCCTTCGTACAGGCAACCATGCCGTGCCTCGAGGCTCGCGAGGACCTCGACCTCGCGGGGGCGACCTCCCAGCTGTGGAGTTCGTGGAGGAGACGGTGTGGTCGTCGAGCGATTCCTGCAGGCACGAGCAGATCACCCCGCGTTATGGCGGGTTCGGTTCGGTCACAAAGTGGCCCTCAACAGTCTCCTGAAACTGCGCTCTGGCAGGGACGACGACTTCTACGGGTAGTAGGCTATCCCCGTGCTACCCACGATAGACCTATAAGGAGGTCAAAATCTAGGGCAACGCCGTGGCCGCTCCACCGCCTTGCGTTCGGACTGCGCTTGACCGTCCAAGAGCATGCCGCACAACTTGCATTTGACACGGCTCGTCTTGCGGTTGCTGCCAGACCTCTCGGTGGAGGTGTGCGGACATGTCGCCTGATCGAGGATCTCCTTCTCTTTTCTAATCTTCGTGACGGCGCCGCAGTTTTTGCACGTCCGCATATCCATGTATGCGCTACTGCCTGATTTGCTGAACTCCTTACAGCCTCCCCGACACTTGCAGGGGCCTTCGCTCGAAACAGCGCTCGAAGCAGCGACCCGGTCCTCGGGCTGGAAGGTTCAGGCGGTGGCATGCAACTCAAGGGAGTATCCCGCCTGGTAATCGAAATGGGCGTATCGTCCCTAACGTCGACATACTCAGTGACCCAACCCAAGAAGCCGGCTAGGCCTACAGATGCGCATTTCTGCGTACGACCCCAGATGATATACCCTGGGTAGGCATAGGCATAGCGCGCGCTCATAAGTCATGCCCATATGCTGTCCAAAGGTAGAAACCCTATGCGAGCTGTCGCGCATGATACCCGCGGCGGCTGCACGCCGGATCTGTGGGGAGAAAATTCCTCCGCTGCCTTTCCCGGACTTGTCCGACTTCGCGGGGGAATTCTGAAGGTGCGCCGGGTAGTCTTCCATTCTCCTTGCACTCACATTAGAGAGGTAAACCACTTCGCATTCGCTATCCTCATCCACGGTAGCAAGGTACGCTGCGGCTTCAACGCCGCTGGCTTTGCAGCGGGTGCGGCGTTCCCACCGGTCGTTGCCGAGGTTCCCTTGCCGCCTATACATGCTGCATCACCGGCCCAGTGGCCAATAATGCCGCATTTCAAACATCGGCTCTTCGCTTTCAGTTCTGCTAACTTAGCTTTCTTGTCTGCGGACGACTTTGTGTCCGGGCTTTCGCACGGGCTTGCCCTTGCCTTTGGACTTGCCTTTTGCTGGGCACATGCGGTCTGTCCCGCAAGAGCGAGCTGCACGGACTCGGCATACGAGTCGTCCAAGTCGTCACGCTGGACCTCGAACGCAACCACCGTATAAGCGTTGATCTGAACTGCCAATTCGTCAATCAGGCTCACCTGCGGGCGCGGTGGCCGGGTACCCCTCGTACCCGTGGCCATCTTCCGGCCGGTCCTTGCCATTCGGGTGCTCGGTGTCCTGATACTCAGGATCTGCCGTAGCCCAAATGGGGTAGCGCTCCTGTGGCCGATCAAAGCGCTTCCAAGGTCTGCCTGGGCCCGACGTGTCCTTCGACGTCAGCAGTCTCTCCTTCATGCGGATTACCGAGTGGTGCTGGACCAAAATTTTGGCATACTCAGCGACGCTATGCGTTCGAGCCGCGGTTTTCACGACCAGCTGCTCGGTGCGGTCCAATCCGGACAACTCAACCAATAGGTTGGCACGCATAGCTTCGGACAATCTGATGTCCGGGTCCAGCTCACGAAGCGTGGACCACCAACGCTTGCGTTGCGCGACGTACGAAAGCGTCGGCTCTCCTGACTGTTTCGCGAGGGGTCCTGTAATGAGCTGGCCTTGGCGAGAGAGTTCTGAGGCTTCCTCAGACTGCAGTGGAAAGGCCTGTTTCCTGATCTCTTCCACCAAATGGTCTATGCCATCGTAGCGCAGAAGTCGGTCGAGACCTATGTCCCGGGCAATGCAGAACGCATCACCATGCAGGCCTTCCAACCTCTTCGTCCTTGACGTCCTTCAAGGTGTATAGGCTGTCGGACGGCGCTAGAGCAAAAACGACTAGGACGTTTATTTGAGGTAACGGGCGGTATAACGGGTTGTTGTTGCCTTTCCAGCATCAAACCGAGAAACACCCGTTATCGATTTGCAAAACGTTGACACCCAACCACCCGCCAACTCCCAAGCTGCACGCCCACGCCCGACCAGCCCCCCAAGTCCCGTAACAAAATGGCGCTTTTGAGCCCCGAGGCTCCGTAACAAAATGGCGCTTTTGGGCCTCGAGGCTCCGTAGCAAAATGGTGCTTTTGAGCCCCGAGGCTCCGTAACAAAATGGCGCTTTTGGGCCTCGAGGCTCCGTAGCAAAATGGTGCTTTTGAGCCCCGAGGCTCCGTAACAAAATGGCGTTTTTGAGCCCCGAGGCTCCGAAACAAAATGGCGCTGTTCGGTGTTTTTTGCTTTTGGGGCGCCCAAAACAACCAACATCATGAGCATCAGTGGGTTCCTCGGTGCATTAAAAGCATCAGTTGGCTCTTCAGGCCACCGTAAAAGCAAAAACGCTTACCCACCCACCCGCCCTCCCACACTCACACCCCCACACCCACACACCCACACACCCACACACCCACACACCCACACACCCACACACCCACACACCCACACACCCACACACGCCCCCACACACCCACACACCCTCACACCCACACACCCGCACCCACACACACACCAACACACCACACACACACACCCCACACCCACACACCCACACACCGCAGACCACACACCCACACAGGGACACACACCCACACACCCACACACCCACACACCCAACACCCAAACACAGCACAAACCAACATATCGACACCGAACAAAGCAACACATCCCACACCTACACCACCTTTCACACCGAAGAAACATGTATTCGGACTTTGACTGAACTTCTACGTCGTTCGTAAGCCGGAATCGAACCGGTTTGATGAAAGAAGCAATTTTTTTGCTTCGTCGCAACGCTCGGTCTCCAA